TGGCCAGGAAATCAGGAGACGCTTACTTCTTGGGAGGAGAGCAATGACCAATCTTGATAAAATAGTGAAGAGTAGAGACATCACATTGGCAACTAAGGTCCGCATAGTCAAAGCAATGGTATTCCTCACAGTCACCTACGGATGTGAGAGCTGGACCATAAGGAAGGCTGAGCAAAGGAAGAGAGATGCTTTTGAACTGTGGTGCTGGAGGAAAGTTCTGAGAGTGCCTTGGACCGCCAGAAGATCCAACCAGTCCATCCTCCAGGAAATAAAGCCCGACTGCTCATTGAAGGGAAGAATAGTAGAGGCCAAGATGAAGTACTTTGGCCACATCATGAAGAGACAGGAAAGCTTAGAGAAGACAATGATGCTGGGGAAAATGGAAGGAAAAAGGAAGAGGGGCCGACCAAGAGCAAGATGGATGGATGGCATCGTTGAAGTGACTGGTTTGACCTTGAAAGAGCTGGGGGTGGTGACGGCCTACAGGGAGCTCTGGCGTGGGCTGGTCCATGAGGTCTGCGTCTGCAGTATTCTTTACACCTAGAAATACAAAGCCTGTCACTGCCTCCACATTTTCTCCCTCTGTTTCCCAGTTGTCAGTCATTCTTGTTGCCATAATCTTGGTTTTTCTAAAAAGAAATGTTTAGCTGTAACCCAGCTTTTGCGCTTTCTTCGTTCAGCTTGATTAGAAGGCTCCTCAGCTCCTCCTCGCTTTCGGCCATCAAAGTGGTGTCATCTGCATATCTAAGATTGTTGATGTTTCTTCTAGCCATTTTAACCCCAGCCTTGCATTCCTCAAGCCCTGCACATCGCATGGTGTGTTCTGCATACAAGTTGAATAGGTTGGGTTAGAGCAGTGCTTCTCAACCTGGGGTCCCCAGATGTTTTTGGCCTTCAACTTCCAGAAATCCTAACAGTTGGTAAACTGGCTGGGATTTCTGGGAGTTGTAGGCCAAAAACATCTGGCGACCCCAGGATGAGAACCACTGGGTTAGAGTAGGCTAGGCTGAGGGCATCCCTCCCTCCCCATGCTTGTTGATGTATCTATTTCTTCTCTGTCTTTCTCCTCCCATTTTCTAACTGAAACTTCATGGTCTCACTTCTGCCTTTTCCACCTTTGCGTGCAGACCTCTCTCTCCTCTGTATGTTTGAAGAAATGTAGTGTTTGGAGGTTAACAGGAAACACATCCAGGAGCTGCCTTTCCCTCATGCAATTCCCTGTGTCCTGTACGTTATGGAGGGGGAGCACCATAGGAGTGTTTCTGCTGCCTTGGGACAGGCCTAGGTGTCTCTTTTCCAGGCTCCATCGGCCAACAGGGCCCCTCCCTGTTAAATGCCATGCTTTACTGGGAACTTTAATTGGAGCGTGTGGTTTATGTGACCAATGCAGGGACCCCCCCCCCCCGGCTGCCGCCTATGGCCTCCTCTTCATTTATATCTGTCTCTGGGGCTGAAATCTGTTCGTGCACCCGCCCCCCCTTTATTTTTTGAATGAGCTCCTTTACATTACAGCAGCCATTTTAAGCCACTGTTTGGTTGCCATGTTTTTCCCTCTGATGGCAGCCATTTTGAAAGCAAGCTGCACCAGCAGATCTCGGCCATTTTGTGGGCCTCAATAGCTCAAGACCCCAGGCATTTTCAGTGTCTTACATAGCCGTCCATGAGTATTTTGGGCTTTTGCATGTCTTCTCATTGGTTAACATCTAATGCTAACAACAACGACAATAATAATAATAATAATAATAATAATAATAATAATAATACACAGCAACAACGAAAAATGCATTTTAATGGCCCAATCAACGGTAGTACTTGGCAAGGGATATTCAGGACAATGAATATGCTCCTGGTCCATTGTCGGTGGGGGTCACAGTATCTCTCGATGCAGATGAACTAAAACTCCCAAAAATCAAGGTCAATTTTCCTCAGACATCTGCAATATGTTCAGTTGGTCATGGAGGTTTTCTGTGCCAAGTTTGGTCCCAGTCCATTAGCCGGGGACACAGTATCTTTGGATGCAGGTGAACTACAACTCCCAAAATTAAGGTCAATTCTCCCAAAACCTCTCCAGTATATTTAGTTGATCAAGGGGCTTCTCTGTGCCAAGTTTAGTCCAGGTTGGTCACTTATAGGGGTTTCAGTGTTCTGTTGAAGTCAGATCCAAAGCAAGTGAAAGTACTGTAAATCCCATCATCCATGGTCCATCCATAGTCAAGAAGGCATAATGGGGTTGAACTGGGGGTGGAGGGGACACATGTCCGGATATACTGTTATCCTTGAATTGTAACTTCTTCTTTGGATCACTGATTTCTCAAACAATCAACAATTTCTGTAAACATAGGCCTACTGCAGAAATAGGCCAATATGGCAGTAAATCGTGACATATAGGCATTGGGAACATCTCTGAAAATTTCCATTTTAAAACCACGTCCCCTCTAAAAGGAGCAACTGGAGGCCACCCCTCCCCTCCCCTCCTTAAACTACAGATGGTCTGTGTTTTTAAGTTGTGTTATTTTATTTTATGTGTTGATAGTGGTTGTTTTTATAATTTTTATGTGATATAATTTTTATGTGACTCATGTACTGTTTATGTTATACTAGCCGTCCCCTGGCACACGTTGCTGTGGCCCAGTCTGTGTATATGTGTTTTGTGTGTATATATATATGTGTGTGTATATACTTGGTTTAGGGCATACGTTGTTGTGTATTTTTTATTGTTGGGGGGGGGGGGCTTTTAAAGTCCCTTCCGCTGTGTTTTTCTGTGTTTTAATGAGTGCTGGTCACTCGTTGGCCTGATAGGTGTATTGTGTCCAAATTTGGTGTCAATTTGCCCAGTGGTTTTTGAGTTATGTTAATCCCACAAACATTACATTTTTATTGATATAGATAGATAGATGCTGCACTTGGAGTGCCTTGTAAGTCACCCCAAGTCCCTTTGTGGAGATGGTGGCAGGATATAAAGATTATTATCATTATCATTATCATTATTATTCCTCAGGAGCATTTCCACTAATTGGGGAAACGTATCATTTTAAACAATTAATGCCATCACATTACAGAACTGGCCATTTTGCCCAGCTACATCTGCATCATTCCCCAAAAATCCACTTCCCCATGTATGAAAAGATAGTTGTTACCAACACTTTAGACACAGAAATAATGGGTACTACACTTGAACCCAACCTAATGTGTTACCACTTCTAAAGTGTAGGACTCGGTGGAATTTAGTAAATATGATGAAGTGGACAGACTACATGAGAAAATAGGAGTACTATTTTCTTACTGCCTCAGTGGAAGGATAGCAGCATGAATGGTAGCCCATATAAACTGGTGCTTGAATGGCCTCTAGTGACCACAATAGTAACTACAGGCTGAAAACATGAGAACCCATGGCCTCTTTTGAGGTGGAAACCAAATATATGGTTTAGCACAGGGGTCCACAAACTTTTTAAACAGAGGGCCAGGTCACAGTTCCTCAAACTGTTGGAGGGCCGGATTATAATTTGAAAAAAACATGAATGAATTCCTATGCATACCACATACCTTATTTGTAGTACAAAAATCACTTAAAAACAATACAATAATTAAAATGAAGAACAATTTAACAAATATAAACTTATTAGTATCTCAATGGGAAGTGTGGGCCTGCTTTTGGCTCATGAGATAGGATTGTTGTTGTCGTCGTTGTGTGCTTTCAAGTCGTTTCAGACTTAGATTGATCCTGAGCGAGGGCCGGGTAAATGACCTTGAAGGGCCGCATCTGGCCCCCGGGCCTTAGTTTGAGGACCCCTGGTTTAGCACATCTGGAGAAGCCAGGGGTTTCCAAAGGTGTATATGGGCTACAATGCCAGCAGGTGATCAGGTCTGCTGTGGGGGAGTGAGGGGTCTGACAGAGAAAGAGAGAGATTGGGGCAGAGAGTGGGCATTATCATACCTAGCTGTTACAACATCACAGCAATGCATTATACAATCATAGAATAATAGAGTTGGAAGAGACCTCATGGGCCATCCAGTCCAACTCCCTGCTAAGAAGCAGGAAAATTGCATTCAAAGCACCCCCGACAGATGGCCATCCAGCCATTTGTGCCTCAGCCTTACCTTACTGCACAACGTTGTTTCTGTCCGAGCATTGCCGCGTTGAAGGGTCATTGAAAATACAGTATGTGGGTTTTTTCACCCTGAAAATAATTAATGATACCCTTTTCCTGCAATGATTCAATAACCAGTTTGCATGTGGCTATCTCATAGCACTTTCTTCTGTGAATGACCCACTGGTGGGCACAGTGTCACTGTGGCCAGCTTATCCCTTCCTCAAAGATAAGCATGCTTAACCCTTCTTAACCCCCTTCTTTTGTTTGCTGTTATATCATAATCTTGAAATATGTCCTACCATTGTATCATAGTGCTGTAAGAGTTACGATTTAAAAAATAGATTAACGTATAATGAAGTGAAGAGTGAGATAAGATACAGGAGTCAGTAATGATACCATGAATGCCAATTCAAAAAATGGGCAAATGTGGCACGGATGCAATTGAGAGGATCAACAATCGGCTATTCTCACAAGATTGGATAAGGTGGGATTCAAATGGAATAACTTGACATAAAGCAGTGGTGTGATAAGGCCAATGAGAAGGGGAGAGCCTGCCTACCTTTTGCCTTTGTCCCATCCACCACCAATGAGTCCTTAATATCAGTGTATTGTCCCATAATAGGTTACTCACAAGGAATGTTTGGGGGGGGGGGCATATCAATTTGTTGCAGTATAAAAAGAAATTGAATTTTGATGCAAACAGATTTATTTTAGCATGACGTTTTGTGGATTCACATCCTTGCATTGAGAAAAAAGCCATCTGCAGTCAAAACGGTAACAACTAACATGCAGGTTTCTTTCATGGTATTCCTTATTTTTATCAGTGGGAGAGTAATTTTACCACCATGAAATGCCAACAGTTTGAAAAAGAAATGATGGAAGAGCATCTGCTTCGAACAATTCATCTACAAGGAGCTTTGGAAATCAGATTGTTCAAAAAGTAGAAATAGAGCCGAACAGTCACAGGAGTTCCTGAAAACAGAGGGAAAGACCAAAGAAGTACCCATAAATTGATTCCTTTACAACAGCAAAGTCTATTGTTACAGGAGACACAGTCTTTCCAGCTGCAAAAGTCTGCACTCTTATGTATGACAACCTAGCCACAAAGCCAATTCTTTGTTTAGACTAGCCACCAGAGGAGGATGAGGAGCAAAGTTTTTTGACATTTCAAAAAAGAAAAGTGCTGCCCTCTTCAAGGTGCTGCTCTCTTACAAGTAAATTTCTTGCTTCTTGTCAGTTGATATTCTTTCTTTTTACTGAATTGTTGGTAGTGGCATTTTGGTTTGCTGCTGCCTTGCGAAACTTGACACCTAGGAAAAAAGAACAGAGGATCATCCCAGGTTGAATGATATATTTTGCCAAGATTTTTCTAATGTTCACCAAAACTTTGAACTCAGCAATTAATGTTGGTGTTTTCGATTCTTGGGTTTAAACTTCTTGCCTATCCTTTTCTGCTCACATTAAATGTTTTAAAAGGTGCGCACAGTTCACTGAATACACCAACACACACATAAGACTTTGTTGATTAAAAAAATGGTTAAAAATTTCGGATATAGGGGGCAATGGTGGTTCAATTCTAAAGTCACTTCTGAATTTTTCCAGATTTTCTTTTGAAACTTTCTGAAACTTCCGAATCGATTTGTTAATGCGGACATGCATGCGCAGTAGGAAAAAACCAGCACTGGCACTGCGGAAACTTCAGGGGATTTCCCCTCCCTCATTTTTAGACCAATCCTGATGAAACTTGCTACAGTGATAGAACACATGGACTACTGTTAGCTCACCAAATTTCATAACTCTTGACCTATCCATGGATTTTGGGCGAATTTTCAAAGTTTTTATAAACTTTTAATAATAAAGAGAATCTATTTCCTGGTTTGAAAGTGCTATTTCCTGTTTCATTGGGTGGTCTTTACTTTGAAAGTAGTTGTTCTACTCCAGAAGCTTTGTTTGTGAGGCACAAACTGTGTTAAATTGGTGGAGAACAGAAATCATAGTATAGACCCCATCAAGGGACATCTAGACTGACCCCCTTTTTCTGGCCAGAAAGGCACCTTCCAAACTCTCCTGACATCCATTTGCTTCCTCTACTGAGTTGGGGGGGATCCTCACGACACATCCATCTGTTTATTCCTTTATGCAGATGCAATCAATCATTTTATTTTATCATTACTTACTGACTGTAAAGGGTTGGCTGGCTGGCTAGCTGTGGCTGGCTACCCCAGTATCTTGTTCACGGCAATTAGGTCAAAGTAAAAGGATTGGTTTTTAAAGCAATTTATGTTCTCTTGGGTTTGCAAAAGTAGCTTATTGTTTTGCTGCCTTCTTTAGACACCTTTGTAGATTAAATCAGTTTATTTTATATTTAGACACTATTTTTGGGTCCCTCAGCCATTTTGGCTAATGATTAGCTGGGCAGTGAGGGAAATGTAGTTTAACAGCAGAGCCTTTTGCAATCTCTACCATTGGGGGCATGGCCTTCACAAACTACAGTCAAAGATGGCTGTGATTAGCCACGCCCACCTCTTCCCTCCATACATCGCCCGTGGCGCAGAAGGCATGAGATTTTAAAAATTCCCTTGCCTTTACCAATGTTGTTTAATGGTTGTGAAAATTAAAATAACCTTGGGAGACATCTGAACATTATAGAATATCCCCCCCCCAAAGGGAAATGGTTCAAATTCGGATCCCCCCCCCCCCACCTTGCCCGTATGCAGGCCTATAGCCAAGATTTTGATTTGGGGCGGGGGGGGGGGGGGCTGAGGTTTGATTCGGCAGGGGGCTGAGGATCTACCCTAGCAAACCTTTTGTATTGTTATCTCAATACCCCCATGCATATGGGATATATTTAGCATGGTGATCAGATCATGATATGAATAAACACAACAGTTTAAATAATGCACCAGTAAGGCCTTCTCATGGACCACCCTGAGAATTTGGGGGGGGGGCTGAAGCCCCTCAACCCCCTCCCCCCGGCTACATGCCTGCCTGCATGGTTCAAAATTGCATCGGATATCAAAATTCGTATGTTTTATTACAAATGTCAGTATTTTTCAAAGAAATCTATCAAACCCTTTATATATGTGTGTGTGTGTGTGTGTGTGTGAAAATAAAGTATCTGTGTAAGTGTGAGTGTATACACACACATACAGTCAACTGTCCACACATGTGAGTTTAACTTTAGCAGATTTTTTTGTATTAATCAATATGTTCTCTCTAGAAATCTCTAGTTCATTTTATGGTCAACTGGATGTCCTAAAGATTCTTATTGTGATCGGATTAATCAATTAGTGTTTCTTTTCAATTCAGTTTAAGTGGAAAGTTAACACCTCCCAAAGTGCAAGTTAACATCTCCCAGCTTGTGATCCCGTTATTTTATCAGTTTTACACTTACCTATTTATGCAATGCTCGTGACACAAAATAAATAATAAAACACCTCCCAAACAATGCATGTCCCCAGGCAGCAAAAGTCAGGCTTTGCAGCTGCAAGGCTACACAACACTAGTCAAGCTGGCTAACTGCAACATTCACACTTGCTTCCAACAGACAAGAGTTCTTTCTCCCACCTAGACATTCCCCATACACCCACTTGCCTCATTTCCAACAGATTCTGAACAAACCTTTGAGGATGCCTGCCAGAGATGTGGGCAAAACATCTGGAGAGAATGCTACTGGAACATGCCATGAAATCACAGCCATGAAAGCCTTCAACAACACATATATTTTGAATTATCCCTTTGCCCAGGAGAGAAAATTACCAATAAGAGAAACTACAGAAAAGAGACATTTGCTGGAGGGCATAACTGGAGTAGCAAGTCAAGTTTTCAGAGTCAGGTTTTGCCTGCAGGAGCCTTTGTGAGAAGAGAGATCATGTACTTACTCTGCTTCCTTGCATGCTCTGCAGCTTGGGGGGCTGTCAACATAGCAAAAGGGTGCAGCGAGAGATTGCAAGGGTGAATCCGGTGACCCTGGTGAAATGAAAGCACACATAAACTAATATATTTCTTTTGACTTAAATAGGTTGATCGTATACTCTTAGTAGGGTAGGAAGGAAATAAGTACTTATACATATATATTGAGCATGGAGAAGAAAAGAACAAAATCTTCCCTCGGGACTCCCAGAAGGTCAATTACACAAACACAGAATGGCCAGTCGTATCCTTTTGTGTCCGCTATGAATGTACAGTGAGATAAAATAAGCCAATTGTGTCAGAATTCAAAAGCAAATTCAGGAAGCCATCCCCCACAAACAAACACTAACTTCTGAGAGGGCAAAAAAAGAATTACAAATGCATTTATAATTTGTCAAACATGGTATGGTAAAGTAATACTATGGCAATTTATATGCTTTGTGATATTACCTTTCTTTTATTGCTGAAGTTATATTAAAAGTCATGGGGAGCATTTTAGTATATTGTGAGAGGTACTATTTCTACAAAAAGCAGAGTTTGTAAAACAAACAAAAAATTCTTCTGGATCAGGAGGATGTTGGGAGCTAACATCCGAAACAACAAAATTATTATTTATTATTTACAGTATTTATGTTCCGCCTTTCTCACCCCACAGAGGACTTAGGGCGGATTACAATGTACACATACATAGCAAACATTCAATGCCATAGACACACAACACATATAGACAGACAGTCAGAGGCTATTTAACATTCCAGTTTTCTGGCCACCAGGGGAGCTGTTGCTGCATCGTCCATCTGAGACACTGATGATGTACTTTCCGCATTCCCCGCATGCTTTTTGCTGGAGATTTTTTATGGCCTCATAAATTTGTTAAATTAGCCTCCTCACACATAGGTGCTACCTAAATTTCCTACTTGACAGATGCAACTGTCTTTCGGGTTGCAAAGGTCGAAAACAAGCTACACAATTGACCGGAAGCTCACTCTGGCCTGGGCTGGCTTCGAACTCCTTTCGGTCAGTAGTGATCTTAATACAGCTTATACCCAGCCAGCTGCGCCACAATCCCAGTGCAAAAAAGAAGTAAAATCTTGTCAAAAGCATAGAGACTAGGCTTTCTATTAAAATCTCATTTTATTTGCCTACTTGCCCATCTCTGAGTTCATATTGTCTTTGAATAATCGCCAATCGGCAGTTCTTTTGGGTTTCACTGGTATTCTTGATATTAACTGTGTCAGTTTATCCATATCCATAATTTTCATGACTGATTAACCAATGCTGCTTTCAGAAATGACTTTAAGACATACAACAACAACTATGATGGCCTTAGAAATGGAGAGTCAGTTTGTCACAAGTGGTCTAATAATAATACAGTTATAGTTTAATAAAAATGTGTAGCTTACTTTTGCAGAATTTCGCCAGTGTGTTGCAGAAGGCCCCGTGTTATATATAGCAATGACATCTTCAATCGGAATGCTATTCTGTGGAGATTGGTTAACTTTGGTTATGAAAAGCTTTCTTTTTTTCTATAAAACTTGTGCTAACTTCTCTATGTTGTATTCATTTATACTGTGTTCACCTGTTTTTCATGAACTTAAACACTAAGGTGTCATTAGCTCTTACAGTTAGAAATAAACACAGAAAAAAACATTATTTCCCTTACAGGCTGATCAAAATAATTGTCATCAGCTCTATCAGTAGAAGGAAAATAATTGCAAGTTAAGAAAAACATTCATACACAATTAATCAACCATTTCCAGAGGATGAAACAGGGGACTAAAAAGTAGAAACAATTAGAACATTTTGATTCTACAGTCTGACTAAGTCCAGGGATCATATGTACCTGATTATCTGGTAAAAAACTGCATGCACTTGTTATGGAAAGAATCTAAAGTTGACCAAAAACTGATTCATAACCCTTTTGGTATTAATGTTGGAGAGTGGTCCCTGGTCAAATGGCCTCTGGTCAAAAAAGGTTGGAAACCACTGCTTTAGAGGAATCAAAGTTATTAAGTTACATATTGAAATAGAGGGCTATTTCAGAGAAAGTCGTGTAGAATAACTTGAATCAAGCAATACATTGGAACCTCTACTTAAGAGCACCCCAACTTAAGAGAGTTTTGAGTTACCAGCTGTCATCCAGCCCAGATTTCACTTTGACAAAAGATCAGCATTTTGAGTTAAGAGCTAACGCTAGAGGAAGTGCTAGCACCAGAGGACCGGGCTGTAGGGCTTCAAGGGAGCAGCCTCTGTGCCTCGTGCTCTTGTCCGCTTTGGGAGATTGCCGTCGTCTTTGCTCTTCTCCGCTTTGAGGGACTTTGGGTTAGTCGATTTTGTGTGGTTTTTATTCCTGCTTTGTTAGGCTTCATGAAGAGAGAGAGGGGGAGAGAGCAAGGGAGGGAGGCTGGAATGAGTCCAGTATGAAGAAAATGATGCTTCTGCCTCTTCACTTTGTACTTTGTGCTTCATTGCCACAACTGTGTGCTTCTACCATTTTAAAGTTGATCTTTCTTTTTCATTGTTCCATGTGAATGTGCATTTAATATATTATTTGTTATTTATAAAGTACATTTTCTTATTTAAAAATACGTCACAAAAATGCAGGGTGGACGAATTAATAGCATTTCAGTGGGAAAATTTGCTTTGAGATCAGAACATTTTGAATTAAGAGCTCAGTCACAGAACAAATTAAACTCTTATATCAAGGTATCAATATGAAATAGGACCTTTTGAAAAAGAATAAGAAGGAGGATATTCATGAACAGAGTTAATTACAGCCTCATTATACAAATATCAAATAATACTGCCCCATTTGTACAAGATAGGTCATTCTGAATGTCATTCAGAAGTTTTTGTCACCTTATTCAATGTACTATTTGCAGGGGAATGTGGAGAACATCATTAAATGTACCTTAACATGTCATTGGAAGGAATCACACATTTTCCTGGAATGAACATTTTACAGAAAGTATATTTAAACCCTAAAAGTCATCACCCATACGGACACTCTACATACTGTAAATCCCCATACCATTAGCATTCCAGCATACGATGACAAAATCATAGCTTCTCTCTTGATTCGGTTGGGATAGATATATCGGCCATGTAGTTGTACTTTACTGTCCATGTTGTATCAGGGAGAAAAAATTGAGAAAATTAGACTGATGTACCACACAAATGTTAAGCAATCTGTTTTGTGTTCTTCCTATCTATGATCCAACTGATGATAAACAAACCAAAGCTCACATTTTGCATAGGCCAAAGAAACCAGATTTAATATTTTTTTAAAAAGACGAATGCTACAGCTGTGACCTTTGTTCCAAAATGTCATGATTTTGTTATAGAAATGTATGTATTCTATTATAAATGTATCTCTTTGGCTCCATTAATATAAAATACTATAGGGTACAGAGCAATCCCTTCAAAAGCCTCCATATTTTTATGTTTCCAAATTATATGAGGAATATTTGGCAAACTATTTTAGCCAGAAGTTCAGATTCATAGAGCCACAGAAGCTGGAAGACACCACCAAGGTCATCTGGTCCAAACGCTTGCCATATAGGAACACACAATTAAAGCACTCATGAAAGATGCCCATCCAACTTCTTTTTAAAGACCTCCAAACTCCATGTATTCTGATGTACCCATCAGCTCAACACTGATTGTATTTCCATTGGGTATAGGGCTACCTCAAGGATTGTATTTTCCTGTATGAACTAACCCAGATTTTGAAATCTTTGGAGATAGAGCTTCTCTTTGCAAAACCATCAATATTTGGGGGAAAACATGAAATACTACTTCCTTTGTGGCTCTCAGCCTCTGGAATTCGCTCTCTATAGAAGTGAGAATGGGGATGCATCTACACTGTAGAATCAATGCAGTTTGACACCACTTTAACCTAAATGGCCCAATGCTTTGGAATCTTGGGATATGTAATATTGTATTTAAAAAATCTGCCAAACATGTCTACGTGTCTTACCAAACTACAAATTTAAGAATTATTTGGAAGCAGCCAAAGTGGTTAAAGTAGCATAATGGTGCTATAATTGCCTAGCATAAAGCATGCCTAAGTGTTGGGGACAAAACAGGAGATAAATCTCCCATCATCATATATATGAGTATGTGTGTGTATGTGTGTGTGTGTGTGTGTGAATACATGTACCATGTACTGCTATAGAATACATGTACCAGACTGATATTTGCTCATTTTTACTGAATTGAAGTTAGAGTGATGCTGACATTCAGAAATAATAATAATAATAATAATAATAATAATAATAATAATAATAATAGATGGCTCCTTCTACTTACATTTTTTCTTTCCCCTGGGACACGGTGGCTTCTGCATCATTGAGCCAAGGCAAAGCAACATTTACTGCCAAATCATAGTGAGCCTGGAAAAACAAAGCACAATATGAAGTCAGCCAACATGATCTCTTTGCATCACAAATTGGACTAGTTCAGGCATGTGTTGTGCAGCTGTATACAATCCACATTGAACTGGGTTATATGACAGTGTGGACTCAGATAATCCAGTTCAAAGCACATATTGTGGGTTATCTGCCTTGATATTCTGGGTGATATGGTTTGGTTTAAGGCCTTTAGTGTGTCGCATGAATGTAATACAAAACTTATGAGTATGTGAAATAAGCAATTAATCATATATTTTTAAAAATATAAATGAATGGTTTTTATGAGATATGTTGTTCCTCATACATTTCATTATTATAATGTATATTTGTGTCCATATCTTTTCTAAGAGGTTGTTTTAACCTCCGATTTTCTAATAAAACTGAATTACTGTGTTGCAAAATGATGCATACTTAAAGGGTGCGTCACTAACATGGAATGTTTGGAAAGCTCTGGATTGAGAAGACTTCATGACTAACCCCAATTCTTATGTGGCTCAAAATGTGGGGTAGCTCACAAAGAACTAACATTCCTTATTGAATTCATGTGGTTCCTGACATGTTAGGTACCTATGGAATACTAGGCTCATTTTTTCAGATTTTTGTCCATCTATGGAGCTGAAGTGCCTGGGAAATTGACCTTTTACTATACTGCTAAGAACTTCTCTCCATGTTTACTTGTTTTCAGTGCATGAAGGCACCATATCATGTCTTGGAAGTTAAGCAGAGTTAGGTCTAGTTAATACTTGGATATGGAACTGCTAAAGAATACTAAGTGCTATAGGCTATGTTTCAGAGGAAAGGAGTGGCAAACCACCACTGAGTATTCCTTGCTTAAGAACATCTTGGGGAATTTATGGGGTTGTCATAAATTGACAGCTGACTCGCAGGCACATAAACACATATGTAGTTGTAAGTGCTGCCTTTGATGATAGTCCCTGTATCCAGTGAACATCTGGGATCATCAAAGAGTCAATACACTGAGAAGCTCATGTGTCCTTGCTGAGCAGGGCATATCACGTCGTTTGGGCTTCAATTATACAAAACTCCTGAAGAGTGTCTAATTGGTAAGGAGGAGATAGGGCTGCCAAGTGTTAACTGAGCTCTCCTATTGTCTCATCCCCTTTTGGTAACTAATAGCAACATCAAGTCTCCTTAATTTTGGCTCAAAACAGGATTTTTCCGGATTTGCAGTAATCTCTAAAAAACCTGTGAGGCTGGAAGAAGAAAGTATGAGCTTACCAAGTCATCAAGAAAAGTAGTCTGCTGCTTTCCTTGTGGATCAAATGCATTTTCCCGAAGTCTAATGCCAATGTAATCTCCCCTGCAACAAACAGTAGGTCAACTCTCAGTTATCGTGTGCATTGTTATTTATTTATGTTCATTGGGCAGGAAGAAAAGAAGAGACATGTGAGATCAAAGCAGTGGCCCATTTGTCTCTTATTCCCTTCCCACAACGGCCAACCAGATACTTATCAGAAGCCCAAAAGCAGGATAAAATCACAAGACCACCCATTCCCTCTATTCCTCAACGCCTGGGACTGAGAGGTGCCTCCTTTGACAATCTGTGGTCCTACACACATAAGATATAGCATGAAGCTATTAGTTATCATTCTTTAGAATAGGAAACAGATGACTGACAATACTTACAAAAGTTTTTCAATTTCTTTTTTCAGTTGTTTTCTTTCCATGGATATATTTTCTTTCCAGGTACCAAATCTGACAACTGGAAAGATCAAGATTAGTATATGCTAACAAACAAACGATGGTGAGCAAAATGCAACCTACCCACAAATAAGTTTTTCTGTTTCCCAGATTTTACCCTAGACACCGCAATCTCCTGCGACCAAAAACACTCAATCACTATCCTTGGGGTCCTCTTGACACACTCCAAAAATCAGAATTGCATCTTGAAATAGACTTCTAGTCACTTCCCATTGTGATTTTTGGCCAGGGTTGAAGCTCCATTCACCACAGTTGTCAATTTTTGAATTAGCAACCGATAACAGCAGTACTTGGTGATGAAAAGGCAAACATGTCATTAATTGGTGTTATAAAACCCCACCTTTACCATGCTATATAAGAATAGAGCATAATGTAATCAAAGAGGAAATAGGAAAAACTTGTTTTGTAATAGCCATGAGTGCAAAAGCCATATGAATTAGCATCTCAAACATAATATAGTAAGTTGTCTTTCTCCATAAAATACAAAAAAAAAAATTCATTACCTCTTTTGCCCTTTCTGCTGAATAGGTGTTTTAAAAGATTCAAGTTCTGGAATTCGTTTGGCTTAATATCGTTAGCGACGCATCCAGTCCAGATGAGACCTTTCTCTTCTTTCTGTGCCTTTGCAGGAATGAATTTCTTGGTCAAGGAAACCAAGAGAATAAAGCATCTGTTGGTTGCTTAGAAACACAATACTGCTGAGCCGAAATTTTAAGGGGAAAAAATGGCAAGCAGCTTTGCTTGGGATGTGTTGCTTGCCCGGAGAAGCCGAGAGCTCCTTTTACATGCCGAGGCATTGGATTTCACCTCTAAATGGTTTACCTGAAACACTGACAGTCGGTTGAAAGACGAGAGAGGAGCTCTGTTCTGCCAAAGACCTCTGCAGATGTTCACGGTTTGTGTCAGAAATCACTTGCATCCAAAGAAAAGGAGATTCCATCTGAACATTAGGAAGAACTTCCTGACTGTGAGAGCTGTTCAGCAGTGGAACTCTCTGCGCCGGAGTGTGGTGGAGGCTCCTTCTTTGGAAGCTGTTAAACAGAGGCTGGATGGCCATCTGTCGGGGGTGCTTTGAATGTAATTTTCCTGCTTCTTGATTTGATGTGTAGTTTTGCTGGCTACCAGTATTAAAAACTCAAAAATTACAACAGCAAAACTACAGAGAGTAAACAATCAGGCACATCAAATCACCTCTCAACAAAAGATTCCCCCAGGCACTTCCAAGCCATTAAATGCTAATCAAGGTGGTCAGTTGAAACATTCACACCTAGCTCCAGCAGACAAGAGTCCTTTGTCCCACCCTGGTCATTCCACAGATATATAAACCCTTTTTCCTACTTCCAACAGACCTCACTACCTCTGAGGATGCTTGCCATAGATGCAGGCGAAACGTCAGGAGAAAATGCCTCCAGAACATGGCCATATAGCCCGGAAAAACCTACAACAGCCCAATAATAATAATAATAATAATAATAATAATAATAATAATAATAATATATTGTCGAAGATTTTCATGGCCGGAATCACTGGGTTGTTCTAGTTTTTTTCGGGCTATATGGCCATGGTCTAGAGGCAATCTCTCCTGACGTTTCTCCTGCATCTGTAGCAAGCATCCTCAGAGGTAGTGAGGTCTGTTGGAACTAGGAAAAAGGGTTTAATATATCTGTGGAATGACCAGAGTGGGACAACGCTCTGGTTACATCCCGTATAGACTACTGCAACGCTCTCTATGTGGGGTTGCCTCTGAAGACTGCCCGGAAGCTGCACTTAGTCCAACGCTCGGCAGCCAGACTACTAACGGGTGCTGGGTACAGGGAGCACACCACTCTGCTGGTGGCAGCTCCACTGGCTGCCAATTAGCTTCTGAGCACAATTCAAAGTGCTGGTGTTGACCTATAAATCCCTAAACGACTCCGGCCCAATTTACCTGTCCGAACGGATTCTCCCCTATGAACCATCAAGGTCTTTAAGATCTTCTGGGGGGGGGGGGCTGCTCTCGATCCCACCACTATCACAATCGCGGTTGGTGGGGACGAGAGACAGGGCCTTCTCGATGGTGGCTCCCCGGCTTTGGAACTCCCTCCCACAGGAGATTAGAACTGCTCCCTCCCTCCTGATGTTCAGGAAGCTAACAAAGACTTGGCTATGGAATGCGGCCTTTGATAACTGAGTCAACTTTGGTCCACATGGAAGGAGAATGAATAACTGTGAATTATGACCAGGAATGCTTTGACGACGTGGCTATATAAGTGTGATGATGACGATGTTGTATTGTAATATGTTTTTAATTGTGTAATGATGATGCATTGTGTGGTTTGTATTTTTGTATATGAACACATGTTGTGAACCGGATCTGAGTCCCTCTTGTAGGTGAGAAGATCGGTATATAAAACTTTTAAATAAATAATAATAAATACATTTATAAGTCTGTGGAATGACCAGGGTGGGACAAAGGACTCTTGTCTGCTGGAGCTGGGTGTAAATGTTTCAACTGACCACCTTGGTTTGCATATAATGGCCTGACAGTGCCTGGAGCAAACTTTTGTTGAGAGGTGATTAGATGTCCTTGTTTGTTTAATAGTTTAATAATAATAATACTTTGTTTAATAATAATAATAATAATAATAATAATAATAATAATAGTTTGGTGAGGCATCAGCCCTCTTTGGCAGAGAGAGCTCGAGGCTTGTGATCCCATAACACTGAGCCATGGCAGTGGGAAAACTGCATTGATTCTGCAGTGTACAACTGTTGGTCCTCCTGGTTTTGGGGACTACACCTCCCAGAAGCCCCTGCCAGCTTGTCCAATGGCCGGGAATTCTGGGAGCTGAAGTGCATGACGTCACACAAGGGCTAAGCTGGTGTGGGCCGTTGTGTCTGTTGGTTGATGATTCGACGTCCCAACTAGAGCGGATGGACGTTGTGCTCCAGCAGCACTGCAGTTTGTCTCTTTAGTGAGGATAGTTGCTTCTGTTTAGTCAGGAGACTTAGTCATACCAAACCCTTTCCAATCAACCCCCCCTTTCCCCTCCCTTGAACTACATTTCCCACAATTCCTGCGAGGCAGGAAGCTGTGTCAGTTTGAATCTGCTGAGGAGGGAAAGGAAAGAGAGCTGATCTGGAAGAGCGTTTGGGCAGATTGTTGTATACAGTCAAGCAGTAGAGGTAAGTAAGTGTGGGTGGCTGTGCCAGAGACTGGACCCCTTCCACACTGACCTATACCCCAGGATCTGATCCCAGGTTAAATTGCAGTGGAGACTCATATAATCCAGTTTAAAGCAGATAATCTGGGATCGGATCCTGGAGTATAGGGCCTGTCTGGAAGGGGCCTGGGATATGGGAGGAGGAAATGGATTATTTGTGTTTAATTATCTGATTTGAACTAGGTTATTTTAGGGCCCTTAATCTCAGGATCAGATCTCAAGTTTTCTGCTTTAAACTGGATTATAGGAGTCCACACTGACAAATAATCTGGGATAAACAGAAAACTCTCTCCCCAAGGACATCAGACAAGCCCCAACGTTGGCAGTCTTTAGGAGGAGCTTGAAGACCTGGCTGTTCCAGTGTGCCTTTCCAGAATAGGGAACTCCCAGCATCATGTCCCAGTCGCACTTTATTAGAGATTTAAGATTGCCTGCACATCACATCTACCCTAAAATGCTTACATTTCACCTGTCATGCCCAGCACTTTTAATTTTAATTATTACATTAGTCCCGGCCCTAGTTTTAAATGCGTCATGATTAATGTTTTTAATGTTACTTCTTTAATGTTTATTGATTTGCTTTATGAGTTTTAGTGTTGTATTTGTTATGTTGTTGTTTTATTGAGGGCCTTGGCCTTTGTAAGCCGCACCGAGTCCTTCGGGAGATGTTAGCGGAGTACAAATAAAGTTAATAATAAATAATAATAATAATAAAACCCTGTCTGGAAGGGTCCTTCATCTAAACTGTGATATAATCCACTGTTCCATCCCCTACGAGTTCCTCTCTTACAAATATACCTTTTTCTTTTTTTATCTCATCCAGAGTTTTATCATTTTATGTCGTACATTGTGTTTAATTTTTCACTCTGTTGTTTTGCACAGTTTTATTTTACTTCCATGTTTTATCTATTTTATTGTGATGTTTTTTTTTTGTAGTTTTATATTTATTTTGCTGTCCCGTATTATAGGGTTTGGCCTCATGTAAGCCACCCTGAGTCCCCTTTGGGGAGATGGTGGCGGGGTATAAATAAAGATTATTATTATTATTATTATTATTATTATTATTATTATGATCCAGTTTAAAGCCGCTAATGTCAGTTTTATGCAGCCTTGGAAAAGGGGCCCCTGTTTCCTCATTCCTATCCAAAATATAATAAGAAAATATCTGAAAAACAGAAAACCTTTCAATCTGCCTTTGCACAGTTTTATTTTACTCCTATGTTTTATCTATTTTATTGTGATGTTATTTTCTGTTGTTTTATATCTGTTTTGCTGTCCTGTATTATAGTGCCTGGCCTCATGTAAGCCACCCTGATTCCCCTTTGGAGAGATGGTGGCAGGGTATAAATAAAGATTATTATTATCATTATTATTATTATTATTATTATTATTATTATTATCCAGTTTAAAGCAGCTATTGTCGATTTTATGCAGCCTTGGAAAAGGGGCCCCTGTTTCCTCATTCCTATCCAAAATATAATAAGAAAATATCTGAAAAACAGAAAACCTTTCAATCTGCCTTTGCACAGTTTTATTTTACTCCTATGTTTTATCTATTTTATTGTGATGTTATTTTTTTTTTGTAGCTTTATATTTATTTTGCTGTCCTGTATTATAGGGCTTGGCCTCATGTAAGCCGCCCCGAGTCCCCTTTGGAGAGATGGTGGTGGGGTATAAATAAATATTATTATTATTATTATCCAGTTTAAAGCAGCTATTGTAGATTTTATGCAGCCTTGGAAAAGGGGCCCCTGTTTCCTCGTTCCTATCCAAACTAGAATAAGAAAATGTCTGAAAAACAGAAAACCTTTCAATCTGCCTTTGCACAGTTTTATTTTACTCCTATGTTTTATCTATTTTATTGTGATGTTATTTTTTGTAGTTTTATATTTATTTTGCTGTCCTGTATTATAGGGCTTGGATTCATGTAAGCCACCCTGAGTCCCCTTTGGGGAGATGGTGGCAGGTTATAAATAAAGATTATTATTATTATCATCATCATCATCATCCAGTTTAAAGCAGCTAATGTCGATTGGAAAAGACGAGCAGCCGGAAACCTATTATTTTTTTAAATTATAAGTCGGTTTACAACATGTTTGAAAGGAATGGAGCTGTTCTGCTCTCAATAATTATTTTAGCTACCTGTAATATTAGTATAAGAGTGACTTTCTCTAAGGGGAAACTTGCTAAAACAGTAGTATGAAAACACCGTGCTTCAAAAAGTTACTTTTTAGATGACTATTCCCAGACCCCCAGCCAACATGGACATTCGCCCCTTTTACACAGCTGAATAAAATTCTACATTTTCTCCTTTGAACTGGAATATATGATCATGTGGACTCAGATAACCCAGTTCAAAGCAGATACTGTGGGATTTTCTGCTTGGTATTCTGGGTTATAGGGCTGTGTGGAAGGGCCCACCGAGATGGAACCAAAGACTTGGATCCAATAGTAAGTCCTAAACAGAACAAAGCCAAATGAATCCTTTGGGAAGAAGTTGGGCTATATGTAACTTCCACTGATTTGGTAGATCTCCTATACTTGGAATTATAATTGAATTTAGGTCCTCATATTCAGTGTCTGCAAAACGGCCCTTACAATCTCTTCCAATTCTGTGATTCTGTACTCTAGGAAATGACGCTGTTTGATCCATGAGATTTCTCTTTCTCTGAACAGGCCGGACTCTCATCAAAATGTCTCTTTTAGAGACATCCATCCTATCCTCCAAGAGTGGAGCGAAGGAACGGATGAAAGACAAAAGAAATGGTGCTTTAAAAATGGCAAAAGTCCATGCATCTCTTGCGTCAAAGATCAAAACAAAGTCAATAAGTAAGTGTTAGTGTTTAAAAATAATTTGGCCACTCAAGTTTCAATGAGGACAGAGGTTCATCTACTGGGGCTTGTTTACCAGGTGTGTTTGGACCAAAAGGTTATGAGTACCAGAACTGATAAGGATTTCCACTGGAGAACGTGAATAAGCTGGTACCTGTTGTCATACTAGCTTATCTAAAACTGACGTTTTGATGTGGTAAAGATTGAGTGTCCTATTTCCAAAATGCTTGTTTTGGATTTTTTTTTCTCCAGATTTTGGAATACCTCTATTTTGTTTATATATCTAATGTACTATCTTGGAGGTGGGATCCAAGTCTAACCATGAGATTCATTAAAGTTTTATGTACACCTTGTGCACATAGATTAATAACAATTTTATACACAATATTTATGATTTGTGCATGAAGCAAAGTGTGTATATATTGAAGAACCATGAGAAAGCGAAGGTGTCATTTTTCCAGCAATGCATGTAAACAGTTTTGAATTTTACAGTACAGTATTTGATTCTGTTTATTTTGCATTTAAAATTCTGAATAAGAAATGCTTAATGTATTGTCGAAGGCTTTCATGGCTGGAATCACTGGGTTGTTGTAGGTTTTTTCGGGCTATATGGTCATGTTCTAAAGGCGTTTTCTCCTAACGTTTCGCCTGCATCTATGGCAAGCATCCTCAGGATCTATGGCAGGGGTCCTCAAACGTTTTAAACAGAGGGCCAGGTCACAGTCCCTCAAACCGTTGGAGGGCCGGATTATAATTTGAAAAAAACTTGAATGAATTCCTATGCACACTGCACTTACCTTATTTGTAGTGCAAAAAACACTTAAAAACAATACAATAATTAACATTAAGAACAATTTAACCAATATAAACTTAATAGTATTTCAATGAGAAGTGTGGGCCTACTTTTGGAAGATTAGATAGGTATGTTGTTGTTGTGTGTTTTCAAGTCATTTCAGACTTAGGTTGACCCTGAGCGAGGGCCGGGTAAATTACCTTGGAGGGCCTTATTCGGCCCCCGGGCCTTAGTTTGAGGACCCCTGATCTATGGCAAGCATCTGAGGATGCTTGCCATAGATGCAGGCAAAACGTCAGGAGGAAATGTCTTTAGAACATGGCCATATAGCCCAAAAAAACCTACAACAACCCAAGAAATGCTTACAGTATATTCTGGCGTATAAGACTACTTTTTAACCCAAGAAAATCTTCTCAAAAGTCAGGGGTCGTCTTATACGCGGGTGTAGTCTTATGCATGGGAATTGTCTTAACAATATATTTTAATTGGAAAAGTTGGGGGTCGTCTTATACGCCCAGTCGTCTTATATGCCGGAATATACGGTAACTTGTACAAGGTGATGTCCTTTGTTCAGCTACTCTTTTGCCTATTGGGGTGCAGTGCCACCTCTTATCTTTCATAGAATTTATGCTGACTGTTTTCTGAGAAGTCCAAGCTTGTAATAGGATTGTATTTGCAGTGCTGAGTGTAAAACATTCTGATGTTGACTAGTGATCAGTTCACATGTCTGGCGTGCCACAGTCTGGACACAGAAGAATGAAGCTCACGGCACTGGATGGCCACTCATAACTGAGGTCCTTTCTACACTGCCAGATTATCAATAAATAATAATAACAATAAAACTTTATTTCTAGACTGCCCTCTCTCCCTGGAAGGACTCAGGGCGGTTTATTAACATCTGCTTGAATTGGATTATATGAGTCTACACTGCTATATAATCCAGTTCAGAGCAGATAATCTGGATTTTATATGGCATGTAGAAGATGATTCCCAAGGTGTTACTTAGAAATGAGAAGGTCTGGAGAGAGAAAAAAACAGAATAATGAGGAATCAAAAGTTTCCCAAAAGCCATCTATCCCCAAAAAAGTGAATTGTGGAATAATGTCTTTCAGAATGATGAATAGAGTACTTTAAGGCAAGGTATTTGTATAATTGCTTTCCCCATATTTCCCCCCAAAAACTATATTATATGATATGTACACTATCTCATATCTGCAATCCCTAGTTCCAATTTTCTTTTCTCTGCACTTTTTTTTACAGGAATGAATGTTTTGTGTCTGCTTGGTTCTGTGCTAGCATAAAGAAGACAATAATATTATTTGCTTTATTTATGGCTTTCCCTATTTTTATTGTTTATTTGTTTGTTTTTCCCCTGGTTTTCATAAACTGGCAAAACGAAAGGTCTACTTGGTTGTTCAGTTTGCATTCCTTATAGCAGGGAAAAGTAAATAACATTTACAACTATTCTTTTAATAATTTACAGTTTTAATGTTCTTATACTAAAGCAAAGTATGAGGATTTATTTTATGCTCCTCTAGTAACAAATTAGTTTTTAATAATATCTTTCCCATTCCTAAAAAATAAAACAAAACAAAAACCTGGAAGAAAATCCAGTTTTTTCAGAATTTCTGGAAATGTTGCATCTTTAGTCCTGCTCAATAATGGATGTTTTCAGCATGTGTGTTCTTGCTTTGAATGTGTTTTTCTTGCATGGCAGGAGGTTGGACGAAATGACCCATGTGGTCTCTTCCAACTCTGTTATTCTGTGATTCTTTGATTGTCCACGTTCTGGAAGTCTTTCGTCCTTTCGGTTGTCCTGCAGATTCTGTACAATGCAGTTGGTTGTATTCACAGGTCTTGAAAAAAATCTGAGAGGTGATATTTTCTAGAGAATGGTTTGCAAGGATTTCATATGCCTTCGTTTAATAAAATGAATCAGGATGAAACTGTATCTCAAATCCAAGGCAAGGAAAGCAACCATTCTGTGTTGTTTTATATGAGGAATGCTGTTTGACTAAACCTGGAGTCATTTAATTTTGAAGATTTGGAGACCAGTTTCAAGAAAAGATGGTGCAGCTGTAGGAAAGGGTTTAATTTTTATATCTTGACTAGCCGTCCCCTGCCACACGTTGCTGTGGCCCACATGGCGGTTCTGTGTGGGAGGTTTGGCCCAATTCTATTGTTGGTGGGGTTCAGAATGCTCTGTGATTGTAGGTGAACTATAAATCCCAGGAACTACAACTCCCAAATGTCAAGATTCTATTTTCCCCAAACTCCACCAGTGTTCACATTTGGACATATTGTGTATTTGTGTAGAGTTTGGTCCAGATCCATCATTGTTTGAGTCTACATTGATCTCTGGATGTAGGTGAACTACAACTCCAAAACCAAAGGACACTGCCCACCAAACCCTTCCAGTATTTTCTGTTGCTCATAGGAGAACTGTGTGCCAAGTTTGGTTCAATTCTATCGTTGGTGGGGTTCAGAATGCTCTTTGGTTGTAGGTGAACTATAAATCCCAGCAGCTAGAACTCCCAAATGACAAAATCAATTTTTTTTGAGTGAAGGACATGCATTGGGTTGTTAGGTGTCTTGTGTCCAAATTTGGTGTCAATTCGTCCAGTGGTTTTTTAGTTCTGTTAATCCCACAAATGAACATTACATTTTTATTTATATAGATTCAAAATTGGATGTGGGGCTTCCGTATTTATGTTCCTACCTTGCTGAAGTAAAACAGTGATGGTGGTGGTGAGTTTACTAATATATTGCTTATTTGTTTTATCAAATACAGATAATTCTTCCATTTTTAAGGCAACTTTAAAACAGAACAACAAAGCCCTAGCCATGGCTCTAAATGCTTCAAAGGCAGCTGCTCAAATACTTCTTAATGAAAAGATGCAACTGCAAAAAGAAGTAGAAGCGTGTAACTTTAAAAACGCTTGCCTGCGCCAGAAGATCATCTCTGCGGTATGATATTTGCAGCCACTTTTTTCTGTCTCAGGGGTGTTTGGAACACTTTCTTTGTTTGCATTCAGGGTGAAGGGAATATTGCTCTGATTTGGCCGAGCAGAGTCTTGTATACCTTATCAAGTATTTATAGGATAATTGAAAAGGAAACATGGGCAACAAATGGATTGATACAAATCAGGCTTTTTAGCTTCTGCTTACACCAAAAACTAATTTAGGAGTAAATTGAATGCTGCGCTGGATTTACATGTTCAATTGTCAGACATAAAGCCCAATTTGAAAACGATTTTAAGTACAAAAACGAAACACATTTAATTCATTACTTTAGGAGTGACTCCAGTATTTCCCTGTACCAAAATAAAGATTTGTGGTTATATTTAAAATATTTTCTCTTTATTCCCAAATCTGCTACATTATACAAAACACTCATGCAATGGAGTAGTTGAAAGAAGAAAGAACTTTGTAGGTTAACAATGCTTAGGGGCAGAGTTAGGGTTCTGTTGGAGTTCTGAAGGACTCCATGACTGAAAACGTTTAGGAACTACTGCCCTGAATCATTCTTTATAATCGTTTTCTAGACCTTTGATTGACTAGGTTGACCTTCACAGAACACGTTCCCATTTGTCAATAACCTTGTTGAACTGTGTTGCCCAGAACTGTACACAACTGTGGTTTCCCCAAAACGTCTATTACTTCCTTTCATCTGGACACTATATTCCATCTTTTGCATGTGTAGCTTAATGAATTAAAATGAGAGACTTAGGAAATAATGACAGTGGTTCAGTTAAAGTAGCATTTAACGGAATAAGAGGATCAATATGAGGAATAAAATATGTAATAATGTTTCCTTTTAAGTTGTTTTCCAACTTTCCATAATTTTATAAGTAAACAAGCCCTGCTCTAACCTAAGTGAACATTTTTGTCTCATCCAGACCAAACATATAGAAGAACTGCAGCAGTGTATGCAAGCTGCTGCCAAGGTGCTGAGTATTCCTCAGGTGAGAAAATGGTTCGTTGAATCTCTCGAGAGTGTCTGTCCCTCTGGTTAGTGCATGGTCAAATGAAAACATTTCAAGTTCCTTTGAAGGATTGAATCCACAAAATCTTTCTGCCCCAAAGCATAAGAAGAAAAGGCTGAGAGGAGATATGATAGCCATGTATAAATATATGAGAGGAAGCCACAGGGAGGAAGGAGCAAGCTTGTTTTCTGCTTCCTTGGAGATTAGGACGTGGAACAATGGCTTCAAACTACAAGAGAGGAGATTCCATCTGAACATGAGGAAGAACTTCCTGAGTGTGAGAGTCGTTCAGCAGTGGAACTCTCTGCCCCGGAGTGTGGTGGAGGCTCCTTCTTTGGAAGCTTTTAAACAGAGGCTGGATGGCCATCTGTCAGAGGTGATTTGAATGCCGTATTCCTGCTTCTTGGCAGAGGGTTGGACTGGATGGTCCATGAGGTCTCTTCCAACTCTAGGATTCTATGATTCTCACTGCTCTTTGATAAATTGAGTTGGACATTATTTAAGAAGTATATCTCACTAGTGTTTTCTATGTTTTTCTCTATCTAGATTGATTCCTCTTTTTTACTCAACGATGCAGAAGACCACGGCTCTAATGATGATATTTCAGGCAACCTGGAGGATGACCACTGCTCTTCTCTGTAAGTAATGAAATAAGTTAGATTAGGTGAAATGCGTGATATTTATTAGGAGTGTCAAGTTCAGCTGTGGGCCCCTGCATAGTTTTCTAGTTATCAGCTTAGATCAGTGGTTCTCAACCTGTGGGTCCCCAGATGTTTTGGACCTCAACTCCCAGAAATCCTAACAGCTGGTAAACTGGCTGGGATTTTGGGAGTTGTAGGCTAAAACATCTGGGGACCCATAGGTTGAGAACCACCGGCTTAGAGAATATGCATGTGAATTGGAGCCCAAGGCCTGGGGATGTCTGGTTTATTCATTAAGATATCACAGCTGGAGCAAGACTACATTTTTGGCTTTTATTATCAGTGCTGGGGGACTTGGTGTTGTGTTTAGGGTGGCATTTTTTAGAACTGCAGCATTTTGACAATGGATTCTCTCAGTCTGAAAATTCTGGTCCTGAGTCTTCTAATTTGCTTCTGCTAGTCGTCATTCCCTCACGCCAAGTACATAAATTTATCACTGCAAAAGGGAAGCTGTGGAAAAAGATAAGGAAGGCTAGTTGACATCCTTTAGGACTTTTTAAGTATCATCTTTTTGATCTAGATCAGTGGTTACCAAACTTTTATTGACCAGTGATCATTTGACCAGGGACCATTTTCCAGTGTAAGTATCAAAAGGGTTATGGATCAGTTTTTGGTCAACTTTAGATTTGGTTTGGTTATTTGGGGTGCTGATTCAGTGGATAAAGCACATCAGCTCTAGTTTCTGATACAGAACATCTGCCACCCAGTAGTCGCCATCTGCTCACCCACAGAAAATCATAAGCCTCGGCACTATAAGAGAGTTTCGCCAGACCAGTCCACTCTCGTTGCAACGGTGTAGTAATGGTGAGGCTGCAAACTATATTTTAGTTCTTGTGGACCACTGGTGGTCCAGGGACCACAGGTTGGCAACCACTGATCTAGACATTTTTGGAGTGTGCTCAGGAATTTCTCTATGCAAAAGGCTTGTACCCCTCGTGTGCCCTTGCCTTAGTTAGTTGAATGAGAAGATGAGGGAACTATACTTCTCCTTAGAGACTGAAAACTGTCCATGCTGTTTGGGATTCTGAGAATTGTAGTCTGAAGATGCAGCTTCTTTGAGCTCTGATTCTTATTTACTTTGGCAACAGGGTAAGATACTGAAATAAGTAGTTCACCTTTCTATTTGTTGCATGTCTTCAATATACTTTTCTGTTTTGTTTTACTTTTTCTTGCTTCAGAGCTGCCCCCAAACCCTTGAGAATTTCACTCTCTTGTGTAGATGACGAAGAAAGTGAAAATGGGAGAGGCATAGAAATAACGAAATCCAAACATCTGCAGATGCCTCTCTCAGGTATACCAGTGTTAATATTACATTTATTTTTACTCTGTTATTACTGTTATTATTACATTTTCATTATTTTACTCTATTATTATTATTATTGCATTTATTATTTTTATCTATTTATTATTATTGCATTTATTATTTTTATCTATTTATTATTGTTATTATTACGTTTATTATTTTACTCTATTATTATTACATTTTTTGTTTCACTCTATTATTATTGGAAGGATATGCAAGCACATTTACATTGAAGAAGGTTAAAATAATGGTTTAATCAGAGCTAGGCAGTCTTAAATTATAAGGTAAAGGTGAAGGTTGTCCCCTGACATTAAGTCCAGTCATGTCTGACTCTGGGGTGTGGTGCTCATTTCTAAGCCGAAGAGCCAGCGTTGTCCATAGACACCTCCAAGGTCATGTGGCCAGCATGACCGCATGGAGCGCCGGTACCTTCCCGCCGGAGCGGTACCTATTGATCTACTCACATTTGCATGTTTTCGAACTGCTAGGTTGGCAGAAGCTATGGCTGACAGCGGAAGCTCACGCCGCTCCCTGGAATCGAACCTGCGAGCTTTTGGTCAACAAGCTCAGCAGCTCAGTGCTTTAAGACAAGGGGCCCCCGGTGGCGCAGTGGGGCCCCTTGTCTTAAATTATAGTTTTATGTAAATATTCAAAAGCATTTCACCTACTGATGCCTCAATTAATGTAATTTTATTGGTATGCATTTTTATCAGTAACTGCTGCATTTCCCACCCTTGGCGTATACTTGAGTCAATAAGTTTTCCTAGTTTTATTTTTCTGTAGTAAAATTAGGTGCCTCAGGTCAGCTTATATTCAAGTATATATGGTATTTAGGCAGAGTTTGAAAAAGTGCCTGCTCCAAGCTCTCATTGTCTCTATTATTATTATTATTATTATTACATTTTTTGTTTCACTCTATTATTATTGGAAGGATATGCAAGCACATTTACAGTGAAGAAGGTTAAAATAATGGTTTAATCAGAGCTGGGCAGTCTTAAATTATAGTCTTATGTAAATATTCAAAAACATTTCACCTACTGATGCCTCAATTAATGTAATTTTATTGGTATGTATTTTTATCAGTAACTGCTGCATTTCCCACCCTTGGCGTATACTTGAGTCAATAAGTTTTCCTAGTTTTATTTTTCTGTAGTAAAATTAGGTGCCTCGGGTCAGCTTATATTCAAGTATATACGGTATTTAGGCAGAGTTTGAAAAAGTGCCTGCTCTAAGCTCTCATTGTCTCTACTTGTCTTGTTAACTAAATCAAATCATTTGTCATTATAGACAACCTTTCCAGTTCTGCAAAAACTTCCCGGACCTGCTCACTGTCTGCCGTCAATGACAGTACTCCTACAAGCAAGATTACAAGAGCATGCAGTGACAGTGTGGTAGCATTAGATGGACACGTTACAATGAGAAAGAAATGTACCACAGGTCTGTCTAATACTGGCAGCAAATCTCAGATGGAACCACTGAATGATGTCCAACATGATGGTCCCCAGGGGGCAAAGAAAGCAGCAGCCTCTGCAGAAGGTCTTGAAATTAGTCAAATTGGGGAACTTGTGTCCCTGAAAAGCAAAAAGAAAAACTCTGAAAAGATAAAAGCCAAAGAAGCCAAAGCTCTGAACAAAGTGAGCACAGAGACAAAGGACAAAGACTCCTCTGTTGAAAAATCCAAAGTGGCCTTTGATAATTTTTACAATAATGATGCTGCAGTTGTAGCTGAAAGCAACAAGTTGAGCAGTAGTAGCAAGATCAAAAAAACTGATCCTGGAGAGTCAAGTCATCTAGATTCCCTTGGAGAACCAATACCAGTGGCCAGCTTCAGCCAGAAGGAGGTCTGTCATTTGAAAAACACTGATAAAACCACAGCTTGTAAGACATCTGTGGGGGATCGGATCCATTTAAAATCTGCGCAAACTTTCTCTGAAAAAATGAAAAATTTAGAAAGTAAGTTTCAGAATTCAGAGACAATCCCAAGCAACAAAACACAACAAAATGAGAAGAGCGATGTCAGTGAGGTGAGCCACCCTTCCCAGTGCTCTACTAAAACCAGAGATTGCAGAAAGACCGATAGGGCAGTTCCTAATTTAGATAATGAGAACAATTGTGCCCGCTCTGCACATAAAATTAAAGAACCTTTGCAGGATGAAAAGGAGCTAGGCTGCTTGTTTCCAAGTCTAGAGTCTAGCTCACTCAGTCGAAAGACACAGCTTCATGGTTCAGATACACAACATCGGGCTGATTTCCAAAAGAAGATTGCTAGCCAAGAAGTAGCAGCTCTAGGTCTGAATGTGAAGCGTCTGAAACCAAAGAGTAAGACACAAGAGATTGGAAGAAGACACATTCTCAGTGAAACAGAGGCACAAATGTTAGATGTTGGCATGCTGCTGCTTCATGATCAGCAAAAAGAAAGTAAATCCCAAAAAGGCCACAAAAACACAGAGATCAAGTGTAGTACACCAGAAGAGCATTTCAAAACCAAGACTGATGAGTTTAGTCTCAGTCAAAAACCTCCAAAAGTTATTAAGAGGAGAACTAAGGGTGCGAGATCCAGTTCTAAAACCTGGAATCAAACAGATATGCCTATAGTTCTTTCTCTTGAGACCACACTAGCTGCATCTCCAGTTTCTTTGGAGAATGAAAATGTGCCTCTTGACAATGCCTCTAGACGCCCCACTACGACTGTCCAAAAGATTGAGGAATCTGCAGTTGCCCAGAGCAATTCTGTCACCAAAACAAATAGCAGTTCTTTACAGAAGACATGCTTGGGCACCAACAGTCATTTGGTTGACGTAACGAAAAAGGTGGACCCCACACCAAAATTAAGCAAAAGAACAACATACACAGTAAATGATGTGGCAGAGTTGAGACCTGCTCCTGACTTGTTCCTTCCAAGTCCAGAGAGTCCGAGTCAAGCAGATTATGTCCCAAGTTCCAGAGCTGAGGCTCCACCGGTCTTTAATTCCTTGACCAAAGACTCAACCCTTCCGGATTCTTCTGCAGAGGGCACATCCAAGGCCGTGGTCCTTGATCTCTGTACCTCTAAGAGAAAATATTCCACTTTGCCAGTCTTGAAAAAAAATATTAAGCAGGTGTCTTCTGGCAGGTTTGAGAAAAGGAAAATCGAGGCCACTCTTGAGACACCCTTACAAAACACTGCTCTATCAGAAAATGGTGAGTTACAAAAAGAGGGCTGATATAGACTATTTGGGTGTGGAATGAGTCATATGAAGTCCCTTCTAAATTCTCTTTTTTATTTTTTGGTGTATAAACCCTCTTGTCTGGTGTTGAACTGGGAATATTACTTATGGGACGAAAGACACCCTGGAATCATCCCTAACAAGAGCCATGGTAACATCTTACCATTACCTAGTTATGAGTTCACTAGTCGGTTTACCTAGTTATGGGTAGCTTCCGCATGCCATTGCATTCATTCAGTCTTCAAAGTACCTTTCTTGGATGTTGGCAGTTCACTAGTCGGTTTAGAACCTCAATTGATGTACAATTGTTTAAATGAAAGGTTGCCTCATTTTTCTGTCAAACTTGAGTTGACAGGCAGTGAAGGAATTGATTTCTTATCTTCATTTCTTCACAATATATGGAAAGAAGCAAGAGTCCAACTGGGTTTGAATCTTGACAAAGGCTATTTCCCGACTTGTTTGCTGTACTCCACCTGGTTTGACTCCATTGATATCATACTCACTTGTTTTATTCCAAAGTCCAGTTGGTCCTTGGAACAGAAGAGCATTTCTGCTCACTGTGTCGGATTATTTTCTGTCACCTAACTGCAGAGGCTGTGGGGTTTGTCTTCCTGGCATGCATGCAGATACAGATTGAGCATCACTTATCCCGAATTCTGAAATTCAAAATACTCCAAAATCTAGAATTATCCACATGGATGTTCATACCTTTGTTACATAATATGTAACCCACTTTTATCTCTCTTGTCTAAAAAAGTGGCTGTAGAACAAAACAGACAGCCTGATAGGCTGACTAGCATTTAATTTTCAGTGTTATGCCTGTGGCTTTGATTAAGGAACAATCTTCTTTTACTCTCAGAAGCAGTACTTAAAGATTCGACCAATGTCGACTCAGGCGCCTGTTCTTACCCTTTGGATGTCTCTCTGCGCCGGCCAAAAAGGCAGAGAAATAATGAAGTTTCCTATGCAGAGCCCAAGATCAACAGGTTAGTTTGGTTTTTTTTCTTTGAAGCTGCCTCTTCCAAGAGAGAGGGACAAATCGAAACCACAGGTGAATGGGAATATTATTTCCTGGAATATAGAGTTTGGAAGTAACTTGATATAGATAAGTGATTAGTTGTAATTAAGTCATTTCCCGGAGGCATAACTGAGGGTGCCTCTATACTGTAGAATTAATGCAGTTTTGACTGCACTTGAACTGCCATGGTTCAGTGCAAGAGAATCAACTTCTTTAGCCTTCTCTGCCAAAGAGGGTGGGTCTCTCATCAAACTACAGATCCCAGGATTCCACAGCATTGAGCCATGGCATTAAAATGGTGTCAAGCTGTATTAATTCTGCAGTGTAGAATAGATGCATCCTGAGATTGCATTATGATTATGATTTGAGAAAGATAATCTATATAAATAAAAGTATAATGTTCGTTTGTGGGATTAACATAACTCAAAAACCACAGTTCCTTAATTGACACCAAATTTGGACGCAATACACTTGTCAGGCCAATGAGTGACCATCACTCATAAAAACACTGAAAAACACAGCAGAAGTGACTTTAAAAGCCCCCTCCCCAAAATTAAAAATACATTACAACACATGTGCAAAAATATATAGGCAAACACACATTTATACACAAATAGACACACACAAAACACATATACACAGAATGGGCCACAGCAACCCGTGGAAGGGGACAGCTAGTTGTTAGATAATTGTACTAATGTTAAACAGTAGAAGAGACTCAAAAAGCCAAAAAATTAAAAATACATTACAACGCATGCACAAAACTACATATGTACACATATACACAAATATGTACACATACATATACACATATATACACACAGAAAACACATATAGACAGACTTGGCCACAGCAATGCATGGCAGGGCATGGCTAGTATCAAATAAAATTGTCTTTTTAGCTACAATCGTGGGATGGTGCATTTCCACATTCATCATTAACTGTGCTGTCTGAATAACAGTGGTTGTTAACGTGTCTGTTTTAGTTCTTTTGAACGACAATAAGAGAAAGTATGTGGGTTTTGTTTTTTTTAAAAAAACGACAGCCATTTGTAATGACTTGGTAACAAATACTATTTTAAAAAACTATTTTCCTCAAACTTTATAACATTGCATGCATTACAAATGACCTCATGTTTTGTCTTTCTCTCCCTGCCTTCTGCAGCAAACTTAGACGCGGCGATCCACATACTGTTACAGACTTCCTCCGCTCTCCTATCTATAAAGAGAAAAGTAAAAAATCCACTAAAAAGTCTCGAAGATCCAAGAAAGTTAAAGTTAAAGTGGAAGAAACTGAGCTGAGTTCTGAAGTTTAGAATCAGTAGGTTGCTTACATTTGTTATTTGTATACTTAGGGATTGTTTGGACATTATTTATTTGTAGAGGTGTTTTTTTTATAAACGCATTTTTAAAATAAAATTTTCCATAAAATTCTTCTTTGATTTGGCCCTCCTTATTAGGGAAGTGCTGACCTGGAGATTTAAAACTGGCTGTAATCACATTAGCCCTGTCACATTAAAAGCTAGAGACATTTCACAGAGCTTTTAGCTACAAAGAAGTAAAAGCAGAAACAGTGTAATGGCACTCTTGCCTAACTCTTCTTAAACATAGGGCCACATCAACCTTATGGGGTTTTTTTGTGTTAGTAGGACTTGAGAAACTGCAAGTCCCTTCTGGTGTGAGAGAATTGGTTGTCTGCAAGGATGTTGGCCAGGGGACACCAGGATGTGTTACCATCCTGTGGGAGGCTTCTCTCATGTTCCTGCATGAGAAGCTGGAGCTGACAGATGGGAGCTTGCTCCGCTCCCTGGATTTGAACCACCAATCTTTCGGTCAGCAGTCCTGTCGGCACAAGGATTTAACCCATTGCGCCACTGGGGACTCCAGACTTATGGTTGCTTTCAAAGGACCATTGAATCCTTGGATACAGGGGGACAACATCAGTGCTGCCTCCGGAAAATCCTGCAAATCTCTTGGGAAGACAAGCGGACAAACGTCAGTGTGCTGGAAGAAGCAAAGACCACCAGCATTGAAGCGATGGTCCTCCAACATCAACTCCGCTGGGCCGGCCACGTTGTCCGGATGCCTGACCACCGTCTCCCAAAGCAGTTGCTCTACTCTGAACTTAAGAACGGAAAACGGAACGTTGGTGGACAGGAAAAGAGATTTAAAGATGGGCTCAAAGCCAACCTTAAAATCTCTGGCATAGACACTGAGAACTGGGAAGCCCTGGCCCTTGAGCGCTCCAGTTGGAGGTCAGCTGTGACCAGCAGTGCTGCAGAATTTGAAGAGGCACGAATGGAGGCGAAAGAGAGAAAGTGCCAAGAGGAAGGCGCGTCAAGCCAACCCCTTCCACCTGGAAACCAATGCCTTCACTGTGGGAGAAGATGCGGGTCAAGAATAGGGCTCCACAGCCACCTACGAACCCACAAGAATGTTGGAAGACCATCATACTCGTCCAACGAGGGATCGCCTAAGTAAGTAAGTAAGTACAGGGGGACAACTATATATATGTATATATCACATAGTTGTCAGTGCTCCTTAGTTGTACTCACTTTGGATCCTGAGATGTTATTGAACAACAGCTCCCTTCATTTTTTGATTACCTACCATAGGTAAAGGTAAAGGTTTTCCCCCGGCATTAAGTCCAGTCATGTCCGACTCTGGGGGGGATGCTTATCTCCATTTCTAAGCCGAAGAGCCGGTGTTGTCCATAGACCCTCCAAGGTCATGTGGCCGGCATGACTTCATGGAACACCGTTACCTTCCCACCGAAGTGGTACCTATTGATCTATTGACATTCGCATGTTTTTGAACTGCTAAGTTGGCAGAAGCTGGACCTGACAGTGGAAGCTCTCACTGCTCCTTGGATTCGAACCTGCGACCTTTTGGCTAACAAGTTTTAGCAGCTCAGCTGTTTAACACATTGCCCCACCGGGGGATCCATTACCCACCATGTGGACTGGGATAATGGGGGTTACATCCCAACAGCATTTGCGGCTCTGGTGTTGGGGAAAGGTTAAAGGACATTTTAAAGTCAGATATACATTCCACAAATCTTGTATCTAAATGCAAACCCCACTATCCTGAGTAACAGAACAATCTGTAACCTCCCATCAGCTCTAGTCATGTCAAATGAGGAATACAGAAATTGTAGTCCAGCATCTTGCAGAGGGCCACATATGACATGGAAGTCTTGCAGGCTGTGGGCTTGACATTTGCATTAGATAATATATTTAAAACGTTAACCTTTTAGTAGCTTGAAAAATGTAATAGATGTTCCTATGTTATTACGGTATGCAACTAAAATCTTTCAACAAGATCCTACACTTTGGCAGAAAAAATGAAATACAAAGATACAGGATGGTTGATGCCTGGCTTGACACAGTCCATGCGAGAAAGATCTTGGAGTCTTCTTGGACAACAAGTTGAACATGAGCCAACAGTGTGATGCAGCAACTAAAAAAGCCAATGGGATTTCGGGTTGCATCAAAAGGAGTATAGTGTCTAGATTAAGGGAAGTCATGGTGCTTCCCTATTTGGCTTTGGTTAGACCTCTTTACCTGGAATACTGTGTTCAATTCTGGGCACCACAGTTCAAAAGAGATATTGACAAGCGGGAAGAGGGAAACTAAAATGATCAAAGGTCTGGAGGCCATGAATCCCTATGAGGAGCATTTTAAAGGCCTAGGTATGTTTAGCCTGCAGAAGAGAAGGCTGAGAGAAGACATGAGAGCCATGTATAAATATGTGAGAGGGAGCCACAGGGAGGTGGAAGCAAGCTTGTTTTCTGCTTCCCTGGAGACTAGGACGCAGAACAATGGCTTCAAACTACAGGAAAGGAGATTCCAGCTGAACATTAAGAAGAACTTCCTGAGCATATGAACTGTGGAACTCTCTGCCTTGGAGTGTGGTGTCTTGGAAACTTTTAAACAGGCTGGATGGCTATCTATTAGGAATGCTCAGATACTTTGATTATGCTTTTCCTGCATGGGAGAGGGTTAGACTAGATGGCCATGTGGTCTCTTATAACTTTATTCTAGGACAGTGGTTCTCAACCTTTCTAACACCGTGACCCTGAAATATGGTTCCTCATGTTGTGACCCCCAATCATAAAATTATTTTTGTTGCTTCTTTATAACTGTAATTTTGCTACTGTTATGAATTGTAATTTAAATATCTGATATGCAGAATGTGTTTTCATTGTCACAAATTCAACATAATTAAAGCATTGTGATTAATCAGAAGAGAAATATGTTTGAGGGAGTATGGAAAACAGATCTGCAGTACCTTCAACCGATTCAGCTCTGACTTCCGCAGACCACTGAGACCTGAGACCTCCACACAGACCTCACAGCAGCATTTGACACGGTCGATCACAATCTATTGACCCACTGCCTAGCCATGACTGGGGTTAGGGGGATACTGCTTAAATGGGTGTCCTCCTTCCTCCAGTCGGGGACAGCGTGTGGTGAGGGGAGGGATGGTTTCCAAGAGATCTCCGCTAACTTGTGGGGTCCCGCAGGGAGCTATTCTCTCTCCTCTATTATTTAACATCTATATGCGACCGCTTGCCCGACTGGTGCGGAGCTTTGGGCTTGAGTGCCACCAGTACGCTGATGACACTCAGCTCATTCTGAGGATGGAGGGCCGGCCGGACTCTGTACCCGAAAATTTCCATCAGTGCCTTGAGGCCGTTACTGGATGGTTGCGTGCCAGCAGGTTGAGGGTGAACCCAGCGAAGATGGAGATCCTTTGGCTGAAGGGAGATCCAGCTGCCTACCCTGGATGGCGAGACACTACATCTGTCACCACCTGTAAAAAGTCTTCGTGTCTTATTGGACCCTCTGCTCACAATGGAGGCCCAGGTCTCTGCTGTGAACAGATCTGTGGTTTTCTACGTCAGGCTAGGCGACTGGCTCCCTACCTATCTAGGAACGACCTGGCTACGGTAATCCAGGCGATGGTCATCTCGAGGCTTGACTACTCGAGGCTTGACTACTGTAATGCCCTCTACATTGGCCTTCCTTTGTCAGTGATCCAGAAAATGAAGCTGGTGCAAAATGTGGCGGCTCGTCTTCTCGCCAGGGTGCCTGCGAGGTGTCATATCACCCCAATTCTACAACAGCTGCACTGGCTACCGATTGAGTACCGGATTACTTTCAAGGTGCTGGTATTAACCTTTAAGGCCTTATATGGTCTGGGGCCGGCGTACCTGAGGGCCCGCTTATCCCCCTACCAACCCCAGAGATTACTTCGGTCCGAAGACCAAACATCCGGACTTATAATCTGTCCTCTACTAGGCAGAGAGCCTTCTCGATTGTGGCCCCTTATTTATGGAATGCCTTGCCAGTTGAAACCTGAACCATCCGAGAGCTACTTGCTTTTCGGAAAGCCTGTAAAACCTTTCTTTTCCGACAAGCTTTCGATGGGTGAATAACTCGGGACTGTGTGTTCTTGTTATATTGTATTTTAAAGTTGGTTGTATTGTTTTAATCTACTGCTGTAAACCGCTACGAGCCAAATTGGGAGTGGCGGTATACAAGTCAAATAAATAAATAAATAAATGTCAAACAAAAAATACTGGAGGGGTTTGGGAGGAACTGACAGTGATTTAGAGGAGATGTAGTTCACCTGCATCTGGAGAGCATGGTGAACCCAAACAACTATGGAATCTGGACCAAACGTGGCATGAATACTCAATATGCCCAAATTTGAACACTGGTGGAGTTTGGGGAAAATAGACCCTGACATTTGGGAGTTATAGTTACTTGGATGTAGAGTTCACCTGCCATCAAAGAGCAGTCTGAACTTCACCAATTGAATTCAAGGCTTGAGTTTGGCAGTTGGAATTTGTCCGTTGGGGGTTTTGTCAGTTGGTATAACGGTTGGTGTTAGATAGGAGAGCTGGGTTAATCTTTTGTGGTATTCAAGAGCTATAGAAATAGATAGCAAGAATACAGATAGTGGGAACAGTACCTTGCTTGTGGTCTGTTTTCTGTCCCTGAGGAAGGCTAGGCCAAAGTCTATTGGCTAGGTTCCAGAAAGGGGAATTTTGTTTGGAATTATTATCAGCGATTAATTTCCCGAGATAATCTCCAGACAAGGGGAATGCCACACTAATCATGGATACAGAACAATACAAGGAGAAGATCAGAAAACTCCTGGATCCTACTATATACAGAAAACATAAACAAGACCCAACTTCCAAAATTACCAGGAAAACCAACACTCTGATTAAGAACTCCTCAATCAACTTCGACATATGACAACAGCTATGTAAATCGGAAGCCCTTCCACCTAGGCTTTATGGACTCCCAAAAATACATAAGGACTCCACCCCACTCAGACTCATTGTGAGTGCCATTGGATCCCCCACGTATGACTTAGCAAAATTTCTTGCTGCTCAGCTACAAAGCCATATTGGGTTCATATACACTACATCAAGGACTCAGCCCACTTCATAGAAAAAAATCAGCAATCTCAAGCTAAATACCAACGACAAACTGATCGGCTTTGATGCGGTGTCTCTATTTACCATGGTCCTGGTAGCAGACACATTTGCACTAATCAATCAGAGGTTCACAGAAGACATCACAGCTCTGTTTCACCATTGCCTCACCACCAGCTACTTTCAGTGGGACAATGAATTGTACAAACAGAAAGATGGAGTAGCTATAGGGAGCCCTCTCAGCCAGGTCATAGCTAATTTCTACATGGAACACTTTAAAAAACAAGCCCTGGAAACAGCAACCAAAAAGCCCACTATATGGCTCAGATATGTGGATGACACTTTCATAATTTGGAGCCATGGAGAAGAAGAACTCAACAGGTTCCTGGAACATCTTAACAGCATCCATCCAAACATCCAGTTCACCATGGAAAAAGAAAATGAAGGAAGACTGCCTTTTCTAGATGTCCTAGTCATCTGTAAACCAGATCAACAATTGGGTCACACAGTTTAGAGAAAACCCACACACACAGATAGATAGCTACATAAAAACTCCAACCATCACCCAAGTCAAAAAAAGAAGCACCATTAAAGCCTTGGCAGACCGTGCAAAAAGAATCTGCGAACCCACCTCCTCCAAGATGAACTGAACCACCTCAACTGGGCTCTCCAGGCCAATGGATACTCCACCTCAGACATCAGAAGAGCTGCAAGACCAAGAACAAGCCACGAGAGTAAAGATGAAGATCCACCCAGAGGAAAAGTGTTCTTGCCATACATCAAGGGAACCACTGACCGCATAGGGAAGCTGATGAGGAAACACAACATACAAACAATCTACAACCCACCAAGAAAATCCAACAAATGCTACGTTCAGCAAAGGACAAGAGGGATCCTCTCACCTCTGCAGGAGTCTACCGTATACCATGCAGCTGTGGACAAGTCTACATAGGGACCACCAAACGCAGTGCCCAAACACGAATCAAGGAACATGAAAGGCACTGCAGACTACTTCAACCAGAGAAGTCAGCCATAGCAGAGCACCTGATGAACCAACCTGGACACAGCATTTTATCTGAGAACACAGAAATGCTGGACCACTCTCACAACCACCATGTCAGACTACACAGAGAAGCCATTGAAATCCACAAGCATGTGGACAATTTCAACAGAAAGGAGGAAACCATGAAAATGAACAAAATCTGGCTACCAGTATTAAAAAAACCTCTAAAATTACAACAGCAAAACAACAGAGAGGAAAACAATCAGGGACATCTAATCACCTCTCAACAAAAGATTGCCCCATGCACTGCCAGGCCATCAAATGCTAATCAACGTGGTCAGTTGAAACATTCATAGAATCATAGAATCAAAGAGTTGGAAGAGACCTCATGGGCCATCCAGTCCAACCCCCTGCCAAGAAGCAGGAATATTGCATTCAAATCACCCCTGACAGATGGCCATCCAGCCTCTGTTTAAAAGCTTCCAAAGAAGGAGCCTCCACCACCCTCCGGGGCAGAGAGTTCCACTGCTGAACGGCTCTCACAGTCAGGAAGTTCTTCCTCATGTTCAGATGGAATCTCCTCTCTTGTAGTTTGAAGCCATTGTTCCGCGTCCTAGTCTCCGGGGAAGCAGAAAACAAGCTTGCTCCCTCCTCCCTGTGGCTTCCTCTCACATATTTATACATGGCTATCATATCTCCTCTCAGCCTTCTCTTCTTCAGGCTAAACATGCCCACTCCTTAAGCCGCTCCTCATAGGGCTTGTTCTCCAGACCCTTGATCATTTTAGTCGCCCTCCTCTGGACACATTCCAGCTTGTCAATATTTCTCTTGAATTGTGGTGCCCAGAATTGGACACAATATTCCCAGTGTGGTCTAACCAAAGCGGAATAGAGCATGGGGAGCATGACTTCCCTAGATCTAGACACTACGCTCCTATTGATGCAGGCCAAAATCCCATTGGCTTTTTTTGCCCGCCACATCACATTGTTGGCTCATGTTTAACTTGTTGTCCACGAGGACTCCAAGATCTTTTTCACACGTACTGCTCTCCAGCCAGGCGTATCTTTGCATTCCGTTTTTCCTGCCAAAGTGTAATATCTTGCATTTGTCACTGTTGAACTTCATTTTGTTAGTTTTGGCCCATCTCTCTAATCTGTCAAGATCGTTTTGAATCCTGCTCCTGTCCTCTGTACACCCAGCTCCCACAGACAAGAGTCCTTTGTCCCACCCTGGTCATTCCACAGATATATAAACCCATTTTCCTAGTTCCAACAGACCTCACTACCTCTGAGGATGCTTGCCATAGATGCAGGCGAAACGTCAGGAGGGAATGCCTCTAGAACATGGTCATATAGCCCGAAAAAACCTACAACAACCCAGTGATTCCAGCCATGAAAGCCTTCGACAATATATCTCCTGTTTTGTTCACATCAAGATTTGAACCCAAATCTTGTACAATTTGTACAATTTGTAAGAATTGTACATTAAACGTAACCAAGAGCTTTTGTGCCATTAACTTACAGAAACCATTACGCATTTGTACCAGAAGAGTTTAAGCCTGTTAAATAAATGTTTTATTATAGTTAACACATTACAACAGCCTGTGTGTGAACGTCATTGGTATTTAAACCTTCTGAAGACAATAAACACTATTGTAACACAAAAGGGTGTTACCAGGCCTGTAGCCAGGATTTTGTTTTGGGGGGAGTTGAGTTTGATTCGGGGGGGGCTGAGTCTGAGTGAAAGAGGGTCTACCCTAGCAAACCTTTTGTATCGTTACCCCAATACCCCCATGCATATGGGATATATTGAGCATGGTGATCAGATCATGATATGAATAAACATAACAGTTTAAATAATGTACCAGTAAGGCCTTTTCGCGAACCACCCCCCCCCCCCCCGGCTACATGCCTGGGTGTTACTAAGTATCCTCTCCCTGCTAAAAGAAGACCCTTGGTGTGATCCTTCCTGGGATAATCTTTATAATTGGTGGCATAGTGGTGTGATCCTGAATGTGAATTTGAAGCTGTCTTTATACCAACCCTTCTCCAGCTGAACATCCTGACAACTACTATTCAAGTGCTGCAAGGATTGGAAAACAGAACCACAGCTTACAGAGATGGCGCCCAGCCAGTCGCAGATAATACAACACACAGTCATGGATGTTACTGGTTTATTTAAACGAGACACACTTCTTAAAAAATACTCCTTAAAAGCAAAAAGCCCGGAGTCATGGATGGAACGGTACTTAATATCTGAGAAACAGAATAAAAGAATATTAAAAACAGTTGACAAAAGACATTATATGGAATTTCACCTTTACAAAATGTGCCTGGCCACCATCCCTACTCTTCAGGTATCTGTAGTTAAGGCGTGACAACCATTCCTCTACTTCAGACCAGGAATTGGACACAAGGAAGGAGAGACTGCCTCTGCCACTGGAGCAGTGTAGTGCTTCTGGTGAAAAACTTAAAAATTTATTTCCCCCCACTGCTAAGTAAAATCCTCTTAAAACTTGCCATGCATGTTGTAGTTTTGCACTTAACTCATGAAGTGATTTGTCAGACTTCTGCATTGCTTGCACACTCCAGTGGGGGGAATATGACCAGCTAGAGAGCAAAACCTGCTCTGTTACTTAAAACAGGTTTGCTCTCCAGCACTCTGCCAGTGCTTATCACTTGAGGGGAGGACGGATCTTGATGAGGGCATAATTCATAAAGGCAGCCATTGAGCTTGCCTGGGTGCGTCATCACTAAAAAAAACAACCCTAGAGGATGATTTCTAATTTAGATTGGTTTCTTCAGATATTGTGAAGTGCAGGGCAGACAAATCTTCTGTCCAGGGCAATTCCCAAGGCTTGTTCTTAAAGTTTTGGCTGAGAAGAAAGCTTTGCCTTCAGGTTCTCTGCAAGTTTATCCAAGAACTCAAATGTGTTCAGGAAGTCTGAGCGCTTCACACTGGTGTAAAAAAAAGGCAGAACAAGTGTGTAAGTGTAACAAACATGTAAAGCTTCAAAACATCCTAAAATTTAGCTAGTTTTACAGATCTGGTGGGCAGATGGAAGATGCAATTGATGTGGACAAATTGAGCTGTTGGTATACACCAGTAGGTCCCCAGATGTTTTGGCCTTCAACTCCCAGAAGTCCTAACAGCTGGTAAACTGGCTGGGATTTCTGGGAGTTGTAGGCCAAAACACCTGGGGACCCACAGGTTGAGAACCACTGATGTATACATGTTCTCTTTTGCCATAGCAAACAATAATCTGTTCATTCTGATTTTTTTAAATTTATTGCTTTGATCTTACAGAAGTATACTATTTTTTCTTAATAAAATTAGGAGCAGCAACATACTTCTGAATTAATGGAAATGAAAAACTACTTTCACCCGTCTTTATTTATACTGGCCATATACTGCCACTTCAGCATATGATACTCAAGCCTTTGCAGAGGAAGGCTATACAAAGCACATTTTCCTAGTTCCAACAGACCTCACTACCTCTGAGGATGCTTGCCATAGATGCAGGCGAAACGTCAGGAGAAATGCCTCTAGAACATGGCCATATAGCCCGAAAAACTACAACAACCCAAAGCACTGTAACTTATAGTTTTGATTCTCAGAACTTCTAATATTTTCACACCTTCCGTATTGCAAAACAGGCTTTTTATGGATCATGCTCCTTGAAATGCATATTTTGAAAATAACGTCTGTATTTAAGAAAAATATTTTAGATATTGAACATTTTAAACACATTTAAAATACTCAAAATCTCAACATTTTCAACACAAGAGTATGTATAGCATGTTAACTATCTTAGTTATACTATAATAATCTTTACATATTTTTCTGTCCTGAGCAAAAAGAATATATATATAAATATATGTAATGTCACAGTATAAAAGTAATTTTTCCTCTGAGTAACTGAAAATAAGTTAAACATAGCACAACCAAGCAAAGTAAAACACTTCCCATTCTTGATTTTAGATTTCCAAGTCTTGATTTTAGCACTATTGAATTCCACTTTCCGGTAAAGCATCAATGCTTTTCCAGGGAATGGAATCCAACAGTACTTACCTCAGTGGAGAACTTTGTCCTTAATTTCAAATATCACATTTGTTAAACTTTCTCTACACATAAAACACAACATGTAATCTTTCATGTTTTCTTTATGGGGCTGTGGTAGCACAGCAATTTAAACCACTAGCTGTAGAAAAACTTGCTGATTGGAAGGTTGGCAGTTCGGAGTCGCGGGTCGGGGTGAGCTCCTGGCTGTCAGCCCTAGCTCCTGCCAACCTAGCAGTTCAAAAATATGTAATGTGAATAGATAAATAGATTCTGCCTCGGCGAGAAGGCAAAACGTGCCCATGCAGCCATGCCAGCAAAATACAACCAGGAGGATGTATGGCCATGGTTCTCAACCTGTGGGTCACCAGGTGTTATGGCCTACAACTCCCAGTTTACCAGCTGTTAGGATTTCTGGGAGTTGAAGGCCAAAACATCTGGAGACCCACAAGCTGAGAATCACTGGTCTATGGACAACAGGCTCCTCGGCATGGAAAATGGAACACGAGCACCCCTCATGGCCAGAGTTGAGCATTGCCTCCAGATGCCAGAGATGAAAAAGGGAAACCTTTGCCTTTGTTTGCATATTGTATGCCATTGTTTGTCTATATATGTGCATACTATAATTCGCTCTGAGTTCCCTTGGGGAGATAAAGTGGAATATAAATAAAGGATTATTATTATTATTATTATTATTATTATTATTATTATTATTTCCATTAGACAAATATGGATAACTCTATTATGAATGGAAAACACAAACTGATTTATCATTCCATAGAAGTGCTAGAACAAAGAATGCCATATCTGATGTTTCTCATAATTGAATGTCCCAGACATTACTTCTGAACATTCATCTTTATTTTAAAACATTAATTTCTACTTTCCCTGAGAAGTACAGAAATACGTATACGATGGGGAAAAAAGTCACACTGAATAGCGCCTGTTTTGAAGGGTTCGAGAAATCTAGTATGAGGGTTGCAATGAAAGAAGAAAGGTTAAAATCCTGATTCTAGAAGTGTTTGATACAAATATGCCCCTCTGGATACAGAAGTGACTCATCTTCTATGTTTGCCCCCCCCCCCCCCCCAAATAGAAATATGCTGTTTTTACACGCTAACTGAACTACTTTTGAAAACACATGTTTCCTTGGAGGTAGCTTTATTTCTCCACTGGGTCTTCACAAACTTGGGAATAAGATGTGTACATTGAAAAACATCATTTTAGTTATTTAGCAGTTGTACAATATATTTAGTATATTCAGCACACTGGACTTACTTTGGTAGCCCTTTGATGCAGGCAGACAGATCCTTAGTCATAAAGCCAGCTTCAATGGTCTCTACACAGACTTCTTCCAAGGTAGTGGCAAAATTCTTGAGCTCCTTATTGTTATCCAACTTTGCTCTGTGAGCCAGACCTCTAGTCCAGGCAAAAATGGACGCTGAGAATGGCACAGCAAAAGGAGGGATAGGGGAGAGGGAGGAGAAGAGAGAAAGATTGATAATGCTCTGCAAGATTACTTTCCCCCACAAAGCACATCACAATCTATTTTGGGTTTCAGCCATTCATCAAACTCTTTGGAACAGCCACCCACATGGCCTCCTTTCTGTGATTTGTCCCTGAGGAATATGAAGGAGAAGCCAGCTAACACATGGACCAAGTGGCTGTATTTAGACATTCCTTGCTGTGAATTGTGTAGGTCCAGCTGTATTTCATGTTTTGGGAAAACAATCTGACATGGAAAGGTTCTAGTTGTAAGATTTTTCTTCTTCTAACAAGAACATTTGCTGTAAATCTATATTGCACTGCCCACCTATGCTGCGCAATCTATGCTACAAACATGTCACAGAATTATTTTACAATCTGACGTTTCCAAAACAACACTCTCTCAGGTCTACACAGAGTTCGTATTCCTTGGGATACAGTAAGTCTAAGAAGTCACCTCCAGATTGGATTACTGTAATGCACTCTACGTGGGGCTGCCCTTGAAGACGGCTCGGAAATTTCAATTGGTACAATGGGAGGCAGCCAGGTTACTAACTGGAGCGACTTACAGAGAGCAGTCAGCCCTCCTGTTTAAGGAGCTCCATTGGCTGCCGTTCATCTTCCAGTCCCAATTCAAGGTGCAGGTTCTTACTTACAAAGCCCTGAACCAGTGGTTCTCAACCTGGGGTCCCCAGATGTTTTTGGCCTACAACTCCCAGAAATCCCAGCCAGTTTACCAGCTGTTAGGATTTCTGGGAGTTGAAGGCCAAAAACATCTGGGGACCCCAGGTTGAGAACCACTGCGAACGGTTTGGGACCCGGCTACATACATGACCGCATTTCTGTGTATGAACCCACGCAATCTCTTCAATCATCTGGAGAGACCCTGCTCTCACTCCTGCCTCCTTCACAGGCGTGATTGGTGGGGATGAGGGAGATGGCCTTCTCTGTGGTGGCCCCCCGACTCTGGAACTCACTTCCCAAAGATATCAGACAAGCCCCCACATTGGCAGTCTTTAGGAGGAGCCTGAAAACGTGGCTGTTCCAGTGTGC